TCACAAACCTCACATCCTTTTTGTTGCATTTTGTGAATCCCTGTATTGTGTGTTGGTTAAATTTGGATATCTTAGTGACTTCATTGCCTCGCTGGAGTAAAATGATTATATATATATATATATATATATATATAGATTGAACAATAAAAAAAATATTAAAAAATTAAAATGTTCAGACACACTGGGTTGTAGATTAATATTCTTTCGGTTTTTTTATTATTATTTCATTTAGATTCCTCGACTAGTTTCGGCCGAAATGGCCATCATCGGGAGGAGAAATGTTTCTGCTTACAGTAAACTACAGAAAATCAGAATTATATATATATATATATATATATATATATATATATATATATAATAATAGCTGCCCACTCGTATTCGAAGATACACGTCTACTAATGCGGCTAGACAATCCCTATTGCAAACGCCCACTTAGGCACATTTGTGTGTGCTCAACACCTACAGAGCCCACCTGTGGTTTATACTGCAACTATGCTGAGCAGACCTTAGTTACAGTTTCTTGGAGGGAGCGTGTTCTCTAGCGTGATCAACAGTTTGAACAAGACCAGCACGCTCAAGCCCTCGGCCGCGATGACTTGTGGCTTCGTGCTAGCATAGCTATCGACGGCCCACAAGAGTTCCGTCTACCCAATTTCACTAACTGGTATGGTTTTTAGGCACTTTCCAAAGGTGCCGCACGCTGGGATCGACCTCGATCTAGTCCGATAACAGTCCTTTCTGACAAATCGACCATGGTGAGATTCGAACGTTCTAGCGACTCGGTCACGTGCCCATATTATATATGGAAATCTGCGCCACATACTGTGAGCCTGTCCAAAGGCGTTACAGAATGGCTGGTACACCTTGACATAACTTGGTTCTAGAGGTCGTGGCATCAGCTGCCAGAAATGCTAGCATATCCTCGTTGGACCTGCGAAGGGTAGCCTCCCTGAAGCAAGGTGCGACTGTCACAAGGCAGAAGACCAGGTTGGAAAACACAAGGAAGTGAAGAATGTTGGTTGATGCAACACCGCCAGTGGAGGTCATTGTGTCTGGTCTGAGACCAGATCTGGTTTTAGTTGATATTGAGAAGTAACATCTGTGGCTTGGCGAACTGACAGTAGCATTGGAAGAAGGGATTGAAGAGGTGCATGAAAGAAAGTTGCTTCGGTATGAGGAACTGGTGGCTGAGAGAGGATATGGCTGCACCCTGGTACCATATGAGGTTAACTGTAGAGGATTTCCTGCTACCTCTCTAAAGAGATTCCTCAAGTGTGTTGGGATCCAAAAGCCGGATAAGGTGATTAAGGCTTGTGGTGAAAAAGCGGTGGAAGGCAGTGTATGGATGTACCCCAAAATTCTTATCGAGTCGCATCCAATTAACATAGACCGGTTGCAAAGTAACATCATCCAGCTGTTGAGGGCCCACCGTGTGGAGAGGTACTGAACTTAATGGGCCGAAACTTTGATGAAGCACGGCGCTCAGCTGAAGATTGCAGCTGCACTGGAGCACTTGATGTGTACTTGTGTTCTCTCTCTCTCTCTCTCTCTCTATATATATATATATATATATATTATAAATTAATTGATTTAAATATGTTTTTTCGCTACAGTTCTAACCATGTTTCAAAAATGAAAGCTAAAAAATGCCACGAATTTAATTTTGTGATTAAATTAAAGACATTAGTTCCATTTCATCCTCAAGCGAATTTTGGAGTAAGTTTTTAATATTACTGGGTTAAAAAAAAAAAAAAAAAAAAAAAAAATTTAAAAAGTTACTCCAAAATTCGCTTGAGGATGAAATGGAACTAATGTCTTTAATTTAATCACAAAATTAAATTTGTGGCCTTTTAGCTTCCATTTTTTGAAACATGGTTAGAACTGTGTAGCGAAAAAAAAAAAAAAAAAACATATTTTAAATCAATTAATTTATAATATTAATGCTCTGTAAATTTACATTGAGCACTATTTTGTAAAAATAAAAATATCTATAAGAACACCGGATTATATATCTTGCTGTTCTTTCTTTATATATATATATATATATATATATATATATATATATATATATATTATCAATTAAGGTAGAAGTCTGCAGCCTCTGCGTTGGAAAACGCCTAACGTAGGATTTTTCTCGTTTTGTCATTCAGTTGCCTATATATAACAAACTCTTGATGGGCTCGCAAATTCTCTCAACTACTGTCAGTTTTATGCGTAAATCACAATCATTAGGCGATATAGAGATTGATAGGCTAACGGACCTGGGTAGCATACGTAGGGGAAGCGGGAAACAGAGTGAACTGCGGGGTAGTTTCTGTTCCCACGAATAGGATTACAATATATAAAACATATTGTAAGGTGTGGTACCAATAGCAGACTATGATTTATTGGGTTTCAAATGTAAAGGACTTCCTCACTAATGTAGGGTGTGACACAAGATCTTTTTGTTATATAGGAAGCCCATACTCGAAATATGTCCGATTCTGTTGAGTGGAAGACTGTCTAGATGGCCTGGCTAGTAGTAACTATGTCCGTATTCCTCTATGCAAGGAGGTAATTCACACTGGTCAATGTTGACACTGAAGGGAACGCATTTACGCTGATCTGTGCTGCGTGCACCGTGCAGACTGCCACTGCTCTTCTTGTCGAGCGCTCGTAGAGGTGTCCGTCCAAAATCTGGTCTAGGGCGAATGTAGATATGTTCATTTTAACCCCAGCCGAAAGTAGATATGTCTTTTTAACCCCTGACACCAGTACCATTGACGACTCACGTGAAAGGTGCAGAACAATTTTCCGAAATGATCATCTGAACTTAAGATCCACAATACGATCTCTTCCAAATGGCGGCGGTGGAAGCGGCTTCTTCTTCTTCTTCTTCTTCTTCTTCGTGCCGTGTCCACTCAGGACGTTAGCGATCATGGCTTTATACAATTGGTTTGTTTTGGTTTCTTTTACGGCGCATCAACCTCAGTGGATTATTTAATGCCGACAAGATTTTATTGCTGGTAATGTTTTTGTTTTCAAAAATGTACTGCTGGTAATAATGTATTGCTGGTAATAATTTTTCTTCAAAAAGTTATATATTAAAGTATTCCTGGTATTAAAACCTATTTTTACACTTTGATAGTGTTTTGGCCCCATTTTGGCGGGGGTTAAGTATTTACCCATAGCTAGGACCCTAAAAGGTGCTACCACTCCAGATCAGGGAGGACCTGGGAACACCAGCAATTAAGAGGTGGTTTCACGCTCCTCAAAACCTACTGATCAGAGGCCTTGCTGCTGGATGTAGTTTATCGTCATACCCAGGACGCGGATGTAGTTCAACGTCATACTCAGGACTGTTTTTTTCTTTTGCCCTGAATATTTTTTCTTTTTGTTATTTCTTCTCAACCTTGAAACAACATTCATTTATTCAAGCTCACTAAGTTATGCGTTGTTTTCCTTTGTCTCTCTTGCCTTGAATCTATCCTGTGGATATCAAATTTCCCTAGCCCTCTTTCCTCATTATGTACCCTAGAAATCTCAACTGTCTCCTCCTTATGTTAATTGTAAGTGTCTTTTTAGTTTCATTTTCGCTAAAACTTCGTTGTTCTCTCCTAAACCAACGTTAGCGAATGTCATTATATTTATAGGCACATAGCTCAGTGGATAAAGATGTTGGTTAGGTCCAGTGACTAAACCCAAAGAGTTGTGAGTTCAATACCAGGCCACAGCAGTGGTGAACCAAACTTGGAGAGTTGAGTTAAAGGCAAATAACTGAAACATCCGGAAGAGGCATGGTACGTGGAACTAGAACAATCTACCACGGTGGACGAAATAAAGGGTTCGGTACGAACTTCCAATCACCTGAAAAATGCCGGAGCGTACAACGGCCGAAATGTTGTGAATATGGCAATGAAGATTAGGATAACAGTCCGTACAATGTAAATAATGTAACCAAGCATTTTCTGGGTCAATCGAAACATATTTTTGATTGTAAAAATATTGCATTCATTATCCTTCGAGAATAACTAATTTTTCCAGATACAATTCTATTATTTAACCCATAGATGGGGAGAGGATATAGATCCATAGCTTTCCCATGGGTATTTGCTCGTAAGTGAATGTAACTAACTCGACTCTCCGATTTCTAATTCCGAACCGTTTACCCCATCCACAGATCCTCAAAGAACTTATGAGAGTATCTACCATTCTGTAACAGGTACACACTGAACTCAGATAATATCGATATCGCTCGGTGTTGTTGCAATTTTATTTCCTATCAGCGTGTGACACTATTACTAGGACGCTGACATAAAAGGGGGCGGTTAGCGATTTTATTTCAACTGTGTTTCGTATGTTTTATGACTAGCAATAAAGTCTGTGAAAAGGGGTTTTCAAAGGCAGCCACCCACTTGACGAAAATTGAATACAACAATATATAAATAAATGAAAACTTTAGGGAACAAGTGATAACAAACCAAACGTAGAAGATTTCCGATCGCAGACTTATATATAACGCCCAGATTAAAAGAGTACCCTTTAAAAGGTGCACACGAACATTCTCTCTCTCTTTCACTCTCTCGCATCATCTATCTCTAGAGAGGGAGAGAGAGAGAGAGAGAGAGAGAGAGAGAGAAAGAAAGAGAGAGTGAGAGAGAGGCAATCGCGCATTGTGATGTAAAGATTGGTAGAAAGTTGCTGGGAAAAAGTTACAGTTCTTGCTGGCTGAGTGGAAAAAGCTGATCTGTTAGCATGATACAGCAGAAGTTTCGCCCCAAATGTCCCCTACCCAGACTGTGTAAGAGAATCTATGAAATAAACCACGGAATATAATGAAATCAGGATTGGAGTCTCCATTTTTCATCGAGCCGTTTATTTCCACCTTTCGTTTCCTTGTGAGCGTGCAGTAGGCCTTTTTGTAAATACCGACGCGAAGGAGAATAGAGACGCAACATGGGGTTTCATTGTCCGGTCAGTGAAAGCTGAGAGAGGACACCGTCGTGTGCATACAACTATCTATGTTATTGCTTATAAGTATAATGTCATTCGCTGTCTCTAGAGCCATGTAATGTGAATGTAGATGTTTTCGTGTTTGTTTACGTATGAATTGGTGTATGCACTGCATGTTCTTGTGGATTTATCTACTTTTAAGTGTTTGCGGAAAAAAAAAAAGAAGTCAACGTGGAAAGAATTCTGCTGAACGCATTTCGACCTCCAGAAGGACTTCATCAGATTAAAGTAATGTTTATGTTGATCGGTTTATATATGTGTAGGACGGGGGATATATAAAATCGCAAGCGACGTTTATAATTGTGTACGGAAAAGAAACGCTGAAGATGGTGACACGCTGAAATCTTAAGTTAATTATTTTTCTTCAGACGTGTCTGGGTGTGCGATCTAGCTGATTTCAGTCAGTTTCCTTATGCTTTTGTTTTTATCGCTTTTAAACGTGCTGAAAGGACACGGCACATAGAAGACGATTATTAAGCATCCGGAATTGTGGTAAAAGATCTGACACGAAAGGTGAAATGTTGTAAGAAGCTAGACACAAATTTACCGTAGATGATCAAAGCACATCAACGTAGTAAATTGCTTTCTCTTATAAATGAAACATTTTAAATGTTCGCATTATATTATACCGGGTGCTATTAAAGTCTGGGCACATAGGGAATCTCATTAATTATATTTCCTATTTACCTTCACAGATTAAACATGGTTTTGTCGGAAGAAGAAAGAACTTCTTTTTCTGGGGATATGCTAATGGAGAAGGTGTACTCAATGAAAATGACAGATGCAACACACTTGATTGAATGCATAAAGAGTAAAGAAAGAACTGACTTCTTTTTCTGGGGTACGCTAAAAGAGAAGGTGTACTCAATGAAAATCACAGATGCAACACACTTGATTGAATGCATAAAGAGTAAAGAAAGAATTGACTTCTTTTTCTGGGGATATGCTAAAGGAGAAGGTGTACTCAATGAAAATCATAGATGCAACACACTTGATTGAATGCCTGAAAGAGTAGATGTGCTGAAATTGACGGCAATGTGGTGTTATTGCATCGAGTTCACGTTGAGTCTTACAAAGCAAATCAGTCTTTGGAAACCATAATGAAGATGTGTCCAGACTTTATTGACACCCTTTATTCTACATATGCACATAAATATATATAAATCTGAAGGTATACGCATTGACAGATATTGACTAGTAGGTGCGTTAGTTATGCCTGGGATGTGCATGCTCAGGCATAACTAACGCATCTACATTGTTGAGTGGTAGTTTCATCTCTTGAATGTTGTCTCTATATTACTCTGTTTTTGTTTTCATTGTCAGGTCTTTCCTTTTCTATGTCACACTTGTTTCTATTTAGCAAACTGACACTCCTTCGATGCTGTTTTCATGTAACATAAACAATATCAGCCCAAAACATTGGCGGCAACAAATTAAAAAAAAAAAGAAAAAGAAAAAAAAAGTTCTTTAGTCAACAAAAACAAAAAAGGGAGGTGTAACTTGTGCCTTTTATTGAAATAAAAATATTCCACCCTTGATTTTCTTATGTTTCGAGGATAATTTTACCAAATTTTACCAAATTTTAGATTTAAATTCATCCATATGCTGGGACGGTTCAGATTGTTAAGATGATCTCACCAGAGTTGATATTCGGTGTGTCGTACAAAGTTTAAATTTGTCTGATATAAGACGCCCCCCCCCAGCCAGAGGAAAGACAGGGAAAGTGAGTGAGAGAGAGAGAGAGAGAGAGAGAGAGAGAAATAAGAGATAAAAGAAAATTAATAAGAGAAAAGGGAGACAGAATTAATAGAAAGAGAGAGTAAAAGAAAAAGAGGAAAGAGAGAGTAAAAGAAAAGTAGGAAAGAGAGAGTAAAAGAAAAAGAGGAAAGAGAGAGTAAAAGAAAAGTAGGAAAGAGAGAGTAAAAGAAAAAGAGGAAAGAGAGAGAAAAAGAAAAAGAGGAAAGAGACAGAAAAAGAAAAAGAGGAAAGAGAGAGAAAAAGAAAAGTAGGAAAGAGAGAGTAAAAGAAAAAGAGGAAAGAGAGAGTAAAAGAAAAAGAGGAAAGAGAGAGAAAAGAAAAAGAAAAGAAAAGAGAGTAAAAGAAAAGAGGAAAGAGAGAGAAAAAAAAAGAGGAAAAGAGAGAGAGAAAAGAAAAGTAGGAAAGAGAGAGAAAAAGAAAAGTAGGAAAGAGAGAGTAAAAGAAAAGTAGGAAAGAGAGTAAAAGAAAAAGAAAAGACAGAAAAAAAAAGGAAAGAGAAAAAAGAAAAAGAGGAAAGAGAGAGTAAAAAGAAAAGAGGAAAGAGAGAGTAAAAGAAAAGTAGGAAAGAGAGAGGAAAAGAAAAGAGGAAAGAGAGAGAAAAAAAAAAGGAAAGAGACAGAAAAAAAAAAAGAGAAAAGAGAGAGTAAAAGAAAAGTAGGAAAGAGAGAGTAAAAAAAAGAGGAAAGAGAGAGAAAAGAAAAGAGGGAAAGAGAGAAAAGAAAAAGAGGAAAGAGAGAGAAAAAGAAAAGTAGGAAAGAGAGAGAAAAAGAAACGTAGGAAAGAGAGAGTAAAAGAAAAAGAGGAAAGAGAGAGTAAAAGAAAAGTAGGAAAGAGAGAGTAAAAGAAAAAGAGGAAAGAGAGAGTAAAAGAAAAGTAGGAAAGAGAGAGTAAAAAAAAAGAGGAAAAAGAGAGAGAAAAGAAAAAGAGGAAAGAGAGAGAAAAGAAAAAAGGGAAAGAGAGAGAAAAAGAAAAGAGGAAAGAGAGAGTAAAAAAAAAGAGGAAAGAGAGGAGTAAAAAAAAAGAGGAAAAAAGAGAAAAGAGAGAAAAAAAAAGAGGAAAGAGAGAAAAAGAAAAGGGAAAGAGAGAGTAAAGAAAAAGAGGAAAGAGAGAGTAAAAGAAAAGTAGGAAAAGAGAGAGAAAAGAAAAGAGGAAAGAGAGAGAAAAAAGAAAAGAGGAAAAGAGAGAAAAAAAAGAGGAAAGAGAGAGTAAAAGAAAAGTAGGAAAGAGAGAGTAAAAAAAAAGGAAAAGAGAGAAAAAGAAAAGAGGAAAGAGACAGAAAAAGAAAAAGAGGAAAGAGAGAAAAAAGAAAGAGGAAGGAAAAGAAAAAAAAGAGGAAAGAGAGAAAAAGAAAAGAGGAAAGAGAGAGTAAAAGAAAAGTAGGAAAGAGAGAGTAAAAGAAAAAGAGGAAAGAGAGAGTAAAAGAAAAAGAGGAAAGAGAGAGAAAAAGAAAAAGAGGAAAGAGAGAATAAAAGAAAAAGAGGAAAGAGATAGAAAAAGAAAAAGAGGAAAGAGACAGAAATAGAAAACGGGGGAAGAGACAGAAAAAGAGAAGTGAGAGATGAAAAGTGATAGAAAGATAAAAGGGAGGGCGTGGGAGAGAAAAAGAAAGAAGAGAGAAAATAGAGAGAGAGAGAGAGAGAGAGAAAGAGAGAGGATCGAAATTCTTCAACTGGTCATGCTCTGCTACGTTTACTAACGAGGCGCTTCATATACAATTATGCAAATCCGATAAATTTGCCCGAAAATCAGTCATTTGAAATATCTCAGAATTCGTTTGCATCGCCTTGTGTCTAAACAAGAAGTAAAGGAAAATATTAGTGCAGCTAAACAGGTGAAAACGGAAAATGTTAGTGTGGGAAAGAGGGAAATCTGTTAGTGCAGCTAAATGGAGAAAAAATAATAATAAAAAAAAAGTTAGTTCAAAAATTGACTTTAGCTAAATGTGGAAATGCTAGAGAAATAATAATGTTAGTAGACACCCAGAAATAAACTTAAAAGTGATGACAAAGTTGATTTGGTCCAAATGCTATTGGAATTAAAGTACAATTCTACAATTATCTTTTTTATTCCCTCTCATATTACATATATTTTCAGTGTAATCCATAAAATGAATGAATAATTTTAAAGTAGCCGTTTTAATAAATCCTACAAGTAATATCATAGCTTACGTAATATACATTGATAATTAACTGTTTAAGTTTGTTTTAGCTAAGTCTGGCACAAGGCCAAACTGAACGAAAAAATTGCATTCCACTGATATTTCTAGTTCAGGTAAACTGTATGCAATGAAGAACCCACATTAACGTTCTACCAGGGATCGAACGCCGACAACCGACCAACGGGTATATCCAACCATCTTGGTTGGGTGGGAGTGGCTGCTGCTGATACTACTACCGATACAGCTACTACTATTACTACTACTGCTACTAAGAAGAAGAAAATGATAACTCTTCTTCCGTAAATCTTTATCTCGTTTCTCAGATTCTAACTCATCCAACATCAATTCTGGTGTTTCTGGCACGATTCCAAGTGCTCCTACTATTATAGGTACGACCCAAAATTTAATGTTCCTTGTAAACTCTAATAGATGCCTTAGTATTTTTTTTTAGATTGCACTGTATTATTGTTGCTACATTTTCTTTTTCTCCAGTTACTGAATAACAACTGTGTCCCACTTGCCAGCCATTAAGGGGACCCAAGCTACGACGACAACAACAATAATAATAATAATTCATCATTATTTTTAGCTATCTCAAGAAAAACTTATGCCCTAATTTAATTATCGGAAGCGGTTTATAACAAATGACGTTGTTTTTTGTTTGTTTTGTTTTTTTTTACATTAAGGTTTACTCTGTACAAGGCGCGGAAGCCACTCAAGGTAGAGGGTTACATTAAGGGGTAGTTTATCTGAATAGAAGGGGAAGATAACGGTTAACACTAGACTTGAATAGGTTAAGATTGTAGTGATCAGGGAAACATCATCTTGGGAGACTGTTCCAAAGGACAGTGGTTCGTGGGAAGCTATTTAAGTGGAACTTACTTCTCTCCGATGGAGTACGGATGGAATATGGGTGGCAAGCTACTATGTAAGTTGCATGACGGGTGTTAGCCGTGAAGTTTAGACCTGGCGTAACCAAGTTGGTCCGAGCACTTTCCATGGTGTTAGACATAGAACAGTGAGAGACTCGCCACATCTCTCCTGTGAGAGAGAGAGAGAGAGAGAGGGGGGGAGGGAGAGAGAGAGAGACATTGGACTCAAGACTGGAAAGTGACGACTGGGCAGCTCCCGTCTAAATATAGCAAGAGTACTCCATTTTCGGTCTGATCTGGCTTTTATAAAGGTAGAGGTTTTTTCGCTTTGTCATTTTTTCAACTGTCTACATCGACAAAAACCTGACTCAAAATTCTAGTCACATGAAAGCATCTCAGTTCGATATACAGTCCTAATTTCAACCAGTTTTTTTTTTTTTTAATTTTGTCTGTCCATGTTCCAAGGGAGCTCACATCAACCGGAACGTGTTATTATTTGAACACGTCTTTGAATGCAAACATCTTTGAATTTAAACATGTATTCTTCGAAAGTAAACATGTTTGAATTCAAAGATGTATTCTTTGAATGCAGCTATCTTTGAATTCTAACATATATTCTTTGACAGAAAGCATCTTTGAATCCAAACATGTATTCTTTGAATACAAACATCTTTGAATGCATCTCAGTTTAAAATACAGTCCCAAATTTGCCCAGTGATTTTTTAAATTTTGTCCGTCCCTGTTCCAATGAAGCCCACATCAGCAGGAACATTTATTTTCTTAAGACCTACAAGCGGGTTATTATTTCAAAAATATTTTACTGTTTATCTCCGCATTTTTAAGCTCGAACATACATTTGAATTTTAAGATTGTTTTTCTTTTTGCATCAATGTTACTCTTTATTTTTTTAATGTTGATTAAAAACGGCTTTGAGCACATGAAGTTTGTAGGTCTTAGAGAGAACTGTCTTTCTTTGAATCTCGTGGACTGGCACTACATAACCACGATTTAAATATTGTATTATATAAGAGAAAACATCACCACATAACTTGAGGACTTTTAACAGCAGCAACAACTAAAATGATAGCATATAGAACTCGAATAGAAAATAATAACATAATGAAGGTATTAACGTTCCACACTAGTTCGAATAAAAAGGTTAGGATTGATGCCTCAATCAATATTAGAAAGTTTAATAAAAGTGTAAATGAAAAACGTATTTTCCTGAAAAAATGTTTTACGAGAAAGATTTTATAAATTTCAACCGAAAGCAGTACTAGCTGCTCAGTCAATGAATGTCAAATGTTTCCTTATAAGGAAATGGATAATATTACTATTTATCATAAGTTTTTACATCGAATATTCTTCGAGCATTTTATTTCATGCAAGGCAATAAAATCAATAAGACACAAACGTTTACTGAGTGCGAAAAAATAAGAATGAATTAAGAAGACAAAATCTAACGATTAGCGTTGCATTTAAAGCAAGAGGCCGGAAGAGAGTTCCACAAGTGCAAGAGAAGAAACTGTTAGCATAAAACTTACGGTTACATCTAGCCATTTCAACTGTAAAATGATGAGACTTTTCTGCCAATCTAAAATTGCGCTTAAATTTGTAAAGTCGAGGTAGCAAAGAGGAAAGCTTATCAGAACAATTACCATGAAAATATTTATAGAAAAGACGTAGGGAAGCTACACTACGACGGTGGGAAAGAAGCTGAAGCTGAGATGCTAGGTCAGGACCGATAACATTGCAGATTCTTCTTTGGATTTTATCAGGAATCTCTAAATGAACAGCAGAAGTACCAGACCAGATGTGACAGTGCATGGACGAATGGTAGACTTACAAAATGTGTAAGATAGATTCTGTCGAGAAAATTTTCGCGCGACACAGTGGACCGAAATTCAGAGCAGCAGACCTAGGAATTGATTCAATCTAATCTTTCTAATTCACGGAAGACGTTAGCCCAAGAAGGCGTAGTGAGTCACTGTTCTGGAAGTTAGCATCAGTCATACTGATGAAAGGCGGAAAATGGTTCTTTAAAGCGATTAAAAGAGAGCTATTTCATTTTGGAGGTATCAAAATTAACAAGCACTTTCTTGCCCCAGTTAACAACGGATTGTAGGTTATTTTTGACATCAGATGGTAATTTGACTGTACCAAACTGATTAGACTTACTATTAAAATAAGAGTAAATAGTTGTGTCATAAGTATAGATACCGAGTTGAGAACTGATGTCATAGATCGTTGATGAAAATTAAGAACAACGCACCTTCAAGGATCGGAAGACACTTGTATTGATGGAAAAAAGATTTAGAAGAATGGCCGTTTAACATAACTTTCATTTCGCGATTTGATAAGAAAGACTGAGTTCAAAAATTCGTCGAGAAAATACCATAACCTTTCAACTCGTGAAGAAGACCAATATGCCAAACTCTGTCAAATACCTTCGAGATATCGAAAGCAACAAGCCGAGCTTCACTATTCTTATGGTATTTTGGATAGACTTTTCCAGTAATAACGACTAACAAATGAGCTGTTGATCTACAGAAGCGAAAGCCATTTTACGATTTGTGTACTTTAAATCTATGGATTATTTCTTTTATTTCTATTAAAACATAAACTATTCGAATTTCGTGATGAAACATTTTGACAATTGTTTGACGATTTTTCTTCTTTATTCTTATTTTATGCTACTAATTTTAATTTATGCTACTAATTTTAATTTATGCTACTAATTTTAACTACCGGACTATAATCAATGAAGAAAGAGGTGATAAAAATATCTAAAAGTAAGATGAAAAAACAAGAGGAACTTTTTTATCTGTCTATATTTCCGAGATGAGGCATTTTAATTATTTAACTTTTTCGGACTATTGTCCTCATCTTCGTTGCCATATTCATGACGCTTCCATCGTTGTACGCTCCGGCCTTCTTCAGTTGACTGGAAAAAGTTTTAGTACGAAAATTTGTTTAAAAAGCCATTGCACTGATATCTCGTCCATTTATAAGGAGAAAAAAAAATAATGTCAATTGTTTATTGGTGAATTTTGAAATCATTGTGAAAATTATGTTAGCTTTTATTACTAAATTCAATGTCTTCTCAATAAATTTGATATTAACCACCCGAAGTTGTTGAAATCTTTAAGATTCCAGCAGGAATAAATTTTATGTGTCTCCGCTTATCAATCGAACAAAACAGCTCTGCCCATATCGCTAACATTATTTACTTGCACTCCCTCCACTAAAATTATACAGAAACCTTAGAGAGTTATGAACATTTATCAAATGAAGAAATTTGAAACATCAGAAATGTGGTTCTACAGAAGGATGCTGATAATGTCATGAAGTTAACATTGCCGGTCAATTTAATCTTCTTAATTAACACCATTTTCATTCTTCTAAAATCTCTTGTGAAATTCTTAGTTTTTTTTTCTCTTGTTCTTAATCGATGCTTTCCCGAACGCTACAATGTTAACTTCATCAAATCAAGGGTCACTCGTTACTTATGTTACGTATTTCACGATGCACTAAAGACCGTATCAAAGACAATTACATCTTATAAACAACTAAATGTGTTAATAAAAACCTTGAGTATTTATTGAATTACATGTTTATTCGATGTAACCACTTTTATTCGCAATAAGGGATCGGAATCTGTGACATGCACACAACAATAAAGTTTTTTTTTTTTGCAGAAAATGGAAGCAAAAAGGACACTTATATTTAGCATCAGAAATACTTGAAATTTCTAAGGTATATAATGAGGAAAGAGGGCTTGGAAAATTTGACACTCACAGGACATTGAAGGTAAAGAGAAAAACAAGACATCTTCAAGGAGATTGTCCAGTATTCATTGCCATATAGGAGGACTGATATCACGTAATAGTTCAGTATTCTTTTCTATGTTTCTAACGAAATGTTTTTTTCTGTTTCTTAATACTCTGATTAGCCATGGTTGACAGAACAGCGTTTAGAAGAGATAGCGAAAAGACAAACTTTACTAAGAGCTACAAATAACAGGAAACTGCGGAGAGCCATGACCGTCCACAGACTGAAGAGACACGCCACATAGAAGAATAAAATTCCTATGAAAACTTAATTTTCTCGGTTCGCATAACGCAAATTTGGCTCGTATGACAAATATACCATAGATTTCTATAATTTGTAATGATATTTTTTAACTAACGTTCACCTAATCCAAGTCTCAAAAGCCACTCAAGATAGAGGATTATTGAATGAGTTGTGTAATGTTAATTTAAGAGTATAAAGTAAGAAGTGATAATTATGAAGACATAGAGAATAGTTAACAACTGACCCTTTGCTAAATAATAGTTTAGCAGACTATTATATTTAGGGGAAGTATATCTCGGCTCCGACTTTTGGAGATTGACATTCGGGGTCAGATGTGAGCCATAATAGGGAAGTCGATTTTGATTGGCTGAGCTAGCGTGGGGAAGATAGATAGGACAAAGGTTTCAGCGATTTGGTTCTTACTCGTCAAGCGATGTAGACGTGTCCGAAACGGCTCCCCAGTGAGAGCCATGATCCCCACTGGATAGTTAGATAATGTACATGTTGACGTGAGTAATAAAAATAATTAAGTTAAAATTCTCCTTGTTTGAAGTCTTTCATTGCTGAACCAAAACAGTTAGCGATCGTCGGCCGAGAGAAGACAAGATGAGACCACCTCCACAACGGAGGTTATGCAACACCTTGACCTGAAAAAGTCAAGTGTCTGAGGTAGAACCTATGCGAGAGTTTATTCCAGAAAGCAGTTGTAGGGTAAGATTAAAATAACTTATTTGGTTGTGTATGATTTTATTATGCAACTCACAGGCTGTTCTTTCATATTGTAAATAAATATACAGGATGTCCCAAAAAATTTGATATCATTTTAAAAGCAATTATCTTGAAAAGTACTAATTCTAGCTGAATGAAATTGAACAGTTTAGGCGTTGAACATCATAAGTTTATTATGGGACCGATTTCATAAGTGTTCATTATATACACCGCCTGTGACACGGCACACGTCAAGTCGGTAGTTAAGCTCTTTCCAAACACGCTGTAGCATGTCTCCAGTAACATTATCTAGTGCGGAAATGATTCTCTGCTTGAGTTCTTCAATGCTATTAGGAAGAGGGGTGGGACATAGACCAATCCATTTATATATCCCCATAAAAAGAAATCATACGGGAATATGTCTGGTGACCGCGGTGG